CATCATCATCATCATCATTATCATTATTATATAATATATTAGTTAATTATATATGTATAATATAATATTTGTGGGATACTTTTAAAAAATTAAATTAAATTCTAGAAATCAGATACAAATACAAAAATTAGAATATAAAAATTTCGATTGAGATTTAAAGTAAGCAACTGAAATTTCCATATAAATAAAGTAAGACGCATATAGAATGAGAAATATGTTTAAAATTTTTATAAATTTTAAATTAATGGATATTTTTGATTTCACAATTTTAAAGTAGGATATTGGAGACATAAAATCAATAAAAAATTTGCATAAATATATTTAATTTGTAATAAAAATTATAATATCAAAATCAAGGAACTGAATCGTGTTAAAGTTGCTTTATTTTTCATATATAATTTAAAATATTTGAAAAAATGAAATAAAAAAATATTTTTATGATTTGATTATATATATCAAAAAAGTATGTATTAAATCAATAATATTAATATTATTAAACAAACAACAAATTCAAAAGAAATTTTTTTTAAAACTTTATATTCTTTATATTATATATTTTTTATAGTAATAAATGGCATAAAATTTATTATTAATTAACGCATTAAAGCTTTAAAAACATAATGAAATTTAAAATAAATTTTAATTGCAAAAATCTGCGATTTGTTATTATTATAAGACTTATTTTTTTTTTTTCTATTGGAAGAAAGATATGAATTCTATAGTCGCGTTTTGCTTCTCATGGAAAAATATATTTGCCATTGAATTTTATTTATCTCAAAGATTTAATATAATTAGTAAGAAATTTTAAGATTTAATATGATATGATTTCATAATGATCTATATAAAAAATATAGATAAATAGTGTTTTGAAAATGATTTGATGTCGAAGAAAATGGAATAAAAAATAATTTTGCAATAAAAAAAGTATTCAAAAATATCAGCATGATATATTTTATATATCATAATATGTCCTTTGAAAATATACAATATTTATGTCAAATATTTTTTATGTCATTTATAGTTTTTGAAATATTTATACTATATTATATTTTTTTTAGATAAAATGAACATATAGCGTAAATTTAAAATAAATTAATATTATTAATAGTAATAAATTTATTTATATGCAATGATATTAATTTATTTTATTTTATTTAAACTTGAAATCTTGTAAATTATCTTTTTGTAATATATCTTTTTGTAAATTAAAAAATTTATTTTAAAAATTATTAAAAATTATATATATTATTTTTTTTATTAATTTTTTAAATTATTTTTTTATTTTTTTATTAATTTTATTAATAAATTAGTTGTACATTACACTAATAAAGATATCATATTATAAAATCTTTAATTTAAAATAAATACTACTTTCTTTTTTATTAAATTAATTATTAAGAAATTATGTAAAATAAAAATATAAGGTGATATATTTCATTAGAAAATAATGATTTCTGCTTTTTATATTAGATATATATTCGATCACTGTATCTCCGTCTCCTTTTATCTTTCTCTAACTAAGCAAACTTCAATTTGTTTATAATA